CACAAAGTGGGGTTCAAAGGTCGATTTGACCTCAGAATCTTAGCCTTGTTTTGCGCTGCATTTTCCTCCGTGAGCATTGTTTTTCCTCGATTTGTTCACGTGAAAGAGGGTACCCCGATACAAACACGTTATAAGGACATGCTTTGACCACGCTGCAATTGGCCACTTTCTGTAGATGATACTTGATGGTATCATGGTTGTGGGTGTCGCATCGTTGTTTAACGTCTTCTGCTGATGAACTTTCAGAGCGCATCATCAATCACCTGATTACTTTTGCATCTAACTTGATCTATCCCTGGGAACTTTTTACTTTGGCGACCTGTTCACCATTTGTTAGAATCAGTCATGCTTCATTCTCAGTTGACCATTAGTTATCGTCTGTTATATAAAAATATCGCTTTTCAATTCACCTTCTAAAGGCTTTGTCCGAGGCCAAACAAACTGCACACCGAGCCAAATTTGGAGTTGATGCACCACAAGCGCGATGATGGATGTTCAACTTTTCCGAAGTTATCTCCACCATACTGAGCTTCATTGGACAATTCGAGGCAACCTTTTTTTATCTTAGCCTTCTTTCCCCTACCTTTTAAGCTTTTTTTCCAAACGGTTCCGCTCGTTTTGTGTAGATTCATTCTACCTCACAACAGACTCGCATGACTTCACCTATGTACATGCTCAAACACCTGTGTATGCATTCCGTCCCTTCTTTGCCGTATTTTTTTATTTTTTATCGAACAATTATTTTACCACTCTTCCGTTTGGAACTGACTCCGCAGTTGTTGATTTCTGAGGTGTTTCAGGGAAAGCTTGTTTGATGCATGTTTTGTTATTTTTCCGCCTGGTTGCTTGTTTCCATGCGAGGACGTGTCAGCTAAGATTTATATTGTTGACCAGAGGTGGCGCACCTTGGAGGTTTTATTAGTTTTGATGAGGTCAATGCACGATTCTACAAGGCTCGGATCACGTTTGCTAATTTGAGACACCTATGGCGTCAAAGTGGCATATCCCTGAATCTCAAGGGACGTGTGTTTCATGCTACAGCGCGGGCTGTTTAGTTGTATGGCAGTGAGACGACCTGTTCAAGCAGCGGAACTGAGATGTCTTCAGGTGTTCGACAGTTGTTGTCTCAGGACCATAGCTCGTGTGGGTTGATTTCTTCGATTCCTTAACGAGGCAACTAGGAAGTAAGTTTCCGGTTGTGCAGCACGAACTTCCAATGAAGAATGTGTCCAGCACCAGAGGCTGTTCCGAACTATTGTTTGTCGAAGAGTGCTATTTTCTATGCCCAATTCAGAGAGGTGACCGATCCTTGACCTTGAAACGTTTGAGTGCTGTCGATTTTACTCCACCAGGATGGGGACCGCTATTGGAGACGCTGCAATATGGCAATCGATTTCAGTGGCGTTCTTGTCAGTTTATATCCAGATTGCCCGAATGAGTGTCTGGAGGTGTAGGCACCGGATGGATTGCAGCAATCTAACACTGTGTCCTTTCCTAATCCAGTTTCATTCTTTTCACAATGGGGCTTTCTAAAAAATCATGGTTGTACGACAGCGAAGCATCAGTTCGAACCAGTGAACTGCCAGTCTGATGGCAGATGTTGTCGGCTTGTACGCTGGAATACAGATGTAGGGTTCGAGCTGGGAGGCTGCAGTAAGGCTCCCATGAGAAACTTGGTAGGACGCGTCAGCATTCCAGATTAGAAACAATAAGTTGGCGAAGATAAGTGACTCGCTCTGCAGAGTACGTATATCCAATCGGCCCAGCCCGATTTCTTGAGCTGGTCATAGGAGTGAGATCCGGGAGACATCCGAGTACGACATAACTAATCCACGTGGTCCATACTACAGAGGATGTTTATTGTGAAAACTGGCCGAAACTTGACGCATAGGAAAACAAACTGGCGACCCCAACCAGGGGCTTGAGGTGGCGAACCCCATAGGTCTCCTTTTGGTTTAGGTGCATGCACCTCTCTGGACGATAGCAACAGCGATCTACCAGATGATATACACTAACAGGTTAGTTGTCAGCTGTAACTCTCATCAGCCCTGTTCGGACGATCCTTTGTTCGGCTACCACATAGAGTGTAATCAGTGGATCCAGCTTATGCTCCTATTAGAGTTTGTCAACAGGGTAATGTCAGAGACAGATGTGCATCCCAAAGCTTCCCCTTTCCTATCCTAAAAGTTGCAACAATATCTGGGAGATAAACGGTAGTAATATTTATTTGACACCAATTCAAGGCACTGTTCTATTTTTTAGGCCGAAGCTACTGGCCCTTCACCATTCTACGTGGTGTCCCCGTTGACCAATTGCCCCCATGTTGGCGCGGTAGAATATCGTCCAGATTGGAAACCCGATCTGACGGCAAAATGCAGTCAATGAGATTTGGGTCTGTTTAACTTGTTACACAGTAAGTGGACATTGATCTCACGTTCTCATGACCCATTTATTGCCATTTCGATACCTAACAGTTGTTTTTCTTAAATCTGGCGAGAACCTTTTGTCTCAGTTTGATGAAATCTAAAGGATTTCGGTATACAGGCTTTCTCTTCCAAGGTGAACTGGCAATATGGTTGAGCGGAAGATACTTAGAGGCGATTGGGATTTTATAGGAAGATGTGTGATTCAGAAATAGTAGGTTAAACTAATCGCTTCTGCACAATTTTGTTCTCCGTCGAATGATTTTACTCTACGTTTCAGCTCGGTTGCGGTCGCTATGCCAACTCTCACATGCTTGAGCACTTTTCTGCTACTCAGCATCCGATCGTCCTCAGTTTCGCTGATCTGTCAACCTGGTGCTACCAGTGCGAATCATATGTGAACAATGAGGTTGGTATGCTAATCATCTCGAATGCTCGCCTTTATTTCGTAGTCTTCCTAATTAGTTGATTTACAGTATCAAGGCTCTTACAACTACCCGATTGAAATACCTCTCAAAATGAACTTATTTGTCGTGCTTTGCTTCTGCCTAATCGCTCGTGTGTATATCCGCATCACGTGCATTTCACTAGCTTCAATTTTGTTGTACAACTTACTTAAGAGTTTATCCGAATTCAGCAGTCTTTGGGAGTCTGACTGTGGGAATCGGTTACTGTGACCAACCCAAGTACTTCATGCTGTTGCCACTGGAAATCCACATTTGATGATACCAAAAGTTAGAGTAGGTTGATGAAGTTTAATGATGCGATAAGTACTGGGCCTAGTAGTACTATATGTTCGGCAGCACTAGGGTTCGTTCTTTGCATTTTTAGGATAATGGAGGAGGTGTATGTTTTTTCCCGCGGTAAAACGCCTCTCAGGTCCAGTACTGTAAAGCAAGTCCATCTATATATAGGTGACTCAGCTGACGCGTGTATTAGACGATTCACGCAATGGCGCTTTAGTGAATGCAAAATACCCGTTGGTATTGCATTAGTATCTTTCAATGTTTATCGCGTGTTCCTTTTACTCATCGCCCAGGTTCTTTCGGGACCAAAACACGCGGTCCATCTTGCCAAGTTTGGCGAAGGCTTGCCTGGTCCTCTGCATGAGCACTGATTCTCATTGCCATTCATGGATCAGGAATCGAATATTCGTCATTGTATCCACACAGTTCGAATACCATGGATCACATACCCATTTTTACAGACTTGGTTAAACGTACGTTGTATCAATATGCAAACACGTCCCTTTGATATTCCGCTATAGCACAGTTTGAATTATGTACTCCCTCTCCTTTGTGTATATATATACTTCAGGACGGACCTGAATCTAGTCTTTCACTCATCATGCCTTTGTTAGACAGGTTTGTGATCCATTTGGCAATTGCTTTTGCTTATGATGAGAAGGCACACTGTGAACTTGCACTCGTATTCATTGTTCTCAGAAGGATCTGAATGTAGAGTACTCATAGGTTTCGTGGATTTCGTCTGATTTGGATAGCTAACTGAGGCACTTAGTGCGTGGATTAGCTTTTAGCGCCGACACTGTCAGTCGTAGTGTCCTCTGTGCAACGTACGGAAGTCTTGGTTCCTCAAGATGACTCACGTTTTACATGCTATTGTATGCCCTTGTAGCGTTGATCATATTTCCAATCAGTTTGTGTGGCTACTTCAAGAGTATCAAGGCCACAAAATAATTTTCCGTGTACTGGTGCTGTCCATGAAGGGTGTGCCGCGAGAATAATCATTTTTGTAAATCTGACTACTCATTAGTAGCCTATGGTTTCATCGAATTTGCTTCACAGTCAAGGCAGGCATCGGTGACCGACACGATTCCAATGTAGTTGGTTGAGAGATCGGAGCTGTGTGCAACCGGTACATTTACCGACTCTCCTTCATGTCTTTCGAATTCTAACGAACCATGGAATTCTGAGGAGCGTTTTACTCATCCTTATGCTCATCTACCAGTCCAGATGTTCCCCCTAATCGGAAACACATTCAGCAAAATAAGCTGAAGAAGCTTTTGTTTCCAACTGATTCGATCGCCGGTACACTACATTCACATGCAGTCGTATTTCATAACTGCATGATTAGCGGCCGAAGTTTTGTTGATCTTATTTAAACATCAGTCTACTGGAGTATGTACCACCGTATTCATAACTAATTGGCTGGAGTAGTTCCTGATTGATCTATTTCATGTAATCTCCTTTTGTGTCACAATCTACGTCAGCTAGAAGTTTCCTACTTTTCAGTTTATCCTAATGCCCTCAACTTTCCATTGCAGACATCTCAGCTGGGAAGATATCTACCTCCTGGATGTTTCTGACAATTCATGCTGAATGAAGTAGTCGTGTTTCGTTTATCTCACAGTAGAAACAAAGCTGAACAGTAATGAACATTATTCGTGTTGCTTAATTTTGTCAATGGCACAATCTCCGTATATTTGACCGTTTTCCAATGATTTCCGTTAACCCTCGTTTCCCTAGCTGACGTATCGTGCTTTGCGTAACGTTTTTTAACCTTATTTTTTATAACGGTTTTGCCCTGGTACTGGTAGGTCTGAGAACTTTCGTGTCACGTGATCGTGTAATTCTCCAACGAGCTTTTCATGATACACGTATCATCTGTTGTCGCCATTGTCATGATAAGAACTTGACTCGAATGCCTCATCTCTGGATGAAAACTTTTCTGTTCTCTCGTATGAGTCATACTTGTTCTTTCAAGTGGCAAATATTTTTTCACGCCTTCCTTTGTTGTCTTTCGTTTGCGTTACGTTTGTTCGAGTTTTGTTCGTTATCACAACGAATTTCAGTTCCTGTTCTGTCCGTTTCGTACAACAAATAAGGGCAGTGGCTGCTTAGAGTACAATGAAATGTAGTAAAATGTTAAGTAGTACTCATCAGCCATATGTGGACAACGGAAGACCCTTCAACTTTGAACGTTTTCGTCGCACCAGTTTCTAACTGTTGTCGCGTCCATTCCGTAATTCGACCTCAAATGTAATTCGAAAAGTTACCAGTAGCTTCATAGGAACTGATACTTGAGTTGGCCAGTCCAGTTTACCGGTGTGTATAATAAAACATTCAAAACAGTTGAACCGATAAAGGGTATAGGTAGCTAATTAAAAGGATGCACAGGACCAACCAGGGTACACCCTTTTTCATTCAAAACTCGGCGTAATTAAGTGTTAGGTCCCCATGGAGGTGAAGATAGTCTAGGGGGAAGAGTTCAAGTAATTCGAGACGCTTTTCATGATCAACGGATTTGGGGCCAGTAACCAGCTTCGTAGCAACTCGTTAGATACGCTCAATGAGGGTGGCGTCTTGCAGTAGACCCCGTACAGTACCTGGAAGCCTCTGCGAGCAATAGGGGAGAAGGTGTGCCGAATCATCCAAGGAACGACGAACGCATTTTGAACCGATTTTTCATGGTGGAATGGGAAGGACGTGTTTGGTGTCTATCCTCTGGTTCACCATCACCACTCACGACAAGGACGTTTGCTGAGCTGCCTCCGAACGACATGGACGCACTTTTAGTCATACAGATTAAGGTGCCGGTCCAATGACCACTGCTTTGCAACGTCCACATCCGTTTGGAGAGCACTGACTTTGCAACTAGGTTTCTGGGATAGAACACAGGCCTTGTAGTGTTCACTCATAGTATCTCCGTTTTTGTCCTTCGAGGAGAAGGCGGCTGGTTTGTTTCTTTGGCGGTGTCTCATATACATGAGTGGTACATTTTTGTTTTTTTCTGGCGAGGCTTATCGTGGCCTGTTTTCGTATGTTCCATTGGCGGATTTCTGATTACCGTATCGTACGAAATGTCAGTTCTTTTTCTAAGTCTCCTCTAGTTATCTTTTTGAAGAATTGTTTGAACCTAGTTTCTAGAAGATCCCGAACCGTTTGTGTCTTTCGTTGATGATAACGGGATCCAGTAGGGATTGTGTTTGGCCTGCGCGGTATCTTGTGGGTGCGACGACATGCTGAGTCCAAACATTTTGTTGAACGAATTCAGCCAACGCCGATGCAAAATGTCCACTCAACTTGATGCCTTTGAACATCATCTAGGGGGCCTTGGAAGCGTTAGGCTCACTTACCAGCAAGAGATGCGTGAAGTGGTAGCTGGAGGAGAGTTGCTCAAGGGCTTGTGTGAGGAACAGGTCGTCTTCCGGCGGAATTGAGGAGCAACGGTAGACGATGCCGAAGAGAAGAGAATCGGTCCCACGCACCGGGATTCGTATTCACAATGCATCACAAAAAGGTGAAGGGGTAGAGAACTGGGGTGGTTAGGGTCACACTTGAGTACAAAGCAACCCCATCTACCCTCCCACGTTTCGAATTAGTACGGAGAATGCAGCAACCGCCTATCGAAATCTCAGAATAAGAGACTTCTGGTGTGAGCCAGGTTTCCGTACGTGCGATTATGGTCGTTAGTTCAAGGTAAGACGAATTTAACATCGGCGAGCTGGTTGAAAAGATTGAGGCAGTTTTGTGGACAAGCGCTTCAACACTACATCTTCTGCATCCGAAGGTTGGTAGCAGAGAGTTTAGTAGATTTAATAATCCCACGCCGGTTTTGCTCCTGAAGGTTCCGAGGAGCCTCTGCGGCGTACTTGTTTGCCTCCTGCTTTGGTGTTTTCAAAGGGACGGTGTTTCTCCCTCCGATTCTGGTTTACGCTGGCCCTTTGTTTCTGGGGGACGCAATTTTCCCTCCCTTTGTCGAAAATGTCGGTAGCTACTGCTTGCGACGCGTGGAATGTCAAATTGTGGACACTCCTGGACTCGGCGTTGTTCTAAGATATCCTGTGAACATGATTTCTTTTTTTGGTCCCTTGGACTTCTGGGTGCGATTTGGTTGTCGAGGTGTCTGTGCGACCCTGATGAGTCGTTTGGTCTTTGGATTGAACTACCAGGGAGCGTTACTTTTGATGGCAATCCTGAGAGGCTCGTTTCTGTGGTTGAATGCACCCTGAATTCAGTAAGCACCTTTCCGATCGAACGAGGTTTATATGGCCCTGGCCGATTTTGACGTAGTGGAGTTGGAGGCTGTTTGTTTCGCATTTTTCCCGCGATTGTCTTCAGTACTGCTTCCACATGAGGTCAAAGGGTCAACACTAGCTTAGTCCTGGCTAACTGACCGGTGGTCGTGCGGTTGCACAGTGGACTCCGGCGATGAGGTCAGCGTTTGTGGCTGACCTAAACATACTCAAAAAATTTGTTTAGCATGAATGTACTGATCTATAGTAATTTTATTGGAAATTTCCACTTCGCAAGTGAAACATGTGTTGCACCCAAGCAGAAAATCAAGGAAGACTCTAGAAAACCGTAAAATCGTCAAACTTACTCTCCTCAATCAATGAAGTGAGGTAGATACCAGTTAGTCTATTAGCAGGCAGCATTTTGCTCGGCGATTCCCTCAACAGACCCAAGCACGGGCGACCTGACGCAGCAGTAGGCGAGGAGACTACTTCACATATCCGTTCAGTGTTAGTGGAACCTACCACCATTGAAAGTTGGTTGTTTTGAGGCATAATTTGCAGGGCTTGTTGAAAAAGCTGCTGTCAGGGGTGGGATTCGAACCCACGCCCACAGAGTGGACTGCGACCTGAACGCAGCGCCTTAGACCGCTCGGCCACCCTGACACGACAACCGTAGCCCACGTTTAGATTTGCCAAGCGACATCATCATCAGACAGTGACGTCAGTGTTGTCACTAAAGCTTCGCTGTCGTACAATTTCATGTTCGTCTAATTATATTTAAAGCCTTAGAGTGAAGAGAAAAGTGTGAGAGAGAACCTAGTGCTTGCCTAGGTTAGGCATTCTGAGGTACCCACACCTCCAAGTGCTCAATCCGACGATCTGGAAAGAAACTGACAGTGCGAACACCACTGACATCGAGTGGCGGGCATTTCTTGGAATGTCTCAACCCAAGCACAGGTGGGATCACGGGAGACCCATACTTGAAGGCATACAATACCCAAACTCTTCTTGCTCTCTCACGCCCTTCTGCCAAGTCATACGTTGTCCACATCGCGGTTTGCGCCATTCCACAGGAAGCACGGAGAACAAGACTCTTCTCGGTAGACGGTGTTCCGGTATGCGTAGCACATGACCAAGCCGTCGTAGCCGGTGGTGTGGATGTTTTCCCTGATTGAGGAACCCGTTTTCCGTTCACCTCAATTCTAATAGGCTGACGCTATCCAAAACCAGCAACGCTACTGAGGCATCGGTGTCAAAAACCTGAAGATCCCTCACATCATCTGTCCGCAAGGGTCACGTCTCGAGCCCACACAACAACACAGCCCTTACTGTAGCCTGGTACACATGACCCGTAAGATCTTGTGATATGCTTTTTTGACACCGTGAGTGACTCAAATTAGCAAACATTATTCGAGGCTTTGAGATTCGTGCACTGCCTTCATCAGACACCCTTCCGTCAGAGCTAACAAAACTATCGAGGTATGTATAAACTCAGAACAAGATAACTCGTGCAGAGGCTTGAGAATAATACTTCTGAGAAACTACACGCAATCTAACTGACGACAGTTCCTCATAAATGATGATCTCAAATGGGGAGGAAGAACTAAGCACAATGAACTCAAAAAATCATGTTACTTTGCATATCCATCGGTATGTTCTGACACTCATTTTCCATACACGTTCCATGCTACTTCTCATTGAGTAACTTGAGCCAATCGATCGTCGTAACAGTGACAGTGGAAAGTCAGAGGACATATAAGTTGATATTGGCGATTTTCACACAGTGAGTAAAAAATACCGAATCGAAGAGTGCGGAAAGGCCTTAATCCGACTGACATCGATTACCATGATCAAGAAGGGATAAAAACAAAACAGTTCTTTCGTTCGTCACCGAGTTTATAGGGGTTCTTACTAAAACAACAAGTGTCCCTCTTTAATAAGCATACGCTCAATATCATTCCGGTGTGTGGCACGCGATATTAACGACCCGACCAGAATAACTCAAAAGTACCCAGTTACGATAAACCCAAGAAAATACGTTTTGTGCAAAATAGATTTAGTAGGGGCATGTAGTTGAAACTGTGCCTAAACCAGCTAGGTCAACCTCGGCAGTAAGCTCTAGGCAGACAAAATGCGATTGGAGGGAGCTGCAGGGAAAAATAACCGACTACGGAACCACGGTGGGAGAATTTGAATTTCCTTGCTCATCCAAACTGAGTGATCATCCACTGATAGAGTTGTGTTGTGTTGGAGTGCAAAAGGACGTTCTAGTGTGTTTCTGTGTAAGAAATAAGTACGTGGCACAACATGAATGAATGATGCCAAGTTTGAATGGACAGAAGGAACGACATGGAGAAGATGTATAGTAAAACTGCTGATTGCTGCCGTGACCTTAGTCCGACAGCCTATGTGGGGTCTATGGTAATAGGATATTAAGTGCAACTGGCCTGTCACTGTTTCGTCCATGCACAGCTCGTGATGTAGATAGGTCAGTTGATAGTACGACTCAATCTCGCTATAACAGCCCGAAACTCGCTTTAACTATTGAATTGATGCAGCGGCTACATTTATTGGATTCTCTTAACGTTTGTGTCACTTGCTATGGCCTTTATGGTCGCCGTGTTCCCTATGGCTGACACTTATTGTTCCACCTGATGCTGATGCGTGTGTGTGTGTGTGTACATTAGTGTGGTTGTTCATCTGGCTTCGTTATAACAACCACTCACACTGGTATACAAACTACCAATCGGATCCAGTGAATCGATCTCCTGAGGGACAACAGGTGGCTCACTTGGCTAAGTCACAATTCTGGTCGCTTTCATCTGGTGCGCGGACGTTGTCACGCGATACTGTGACAACCTGTGCACTTGTTATCGACTCCACGGGCGTGAACGGTCGAGGTTTGTTATGTGCCTGTGTTTACTTGTCTATAAGCATTACTGTGGTCTTTTGGACACAACTTTATGTTCTGGTGTCCGGATCCATCCAACATACGCGGGTTTAAAAGTTTTTCATCGAAAACCGTAACTCCGAGTTTGCTGGTTTATCGGTATCCTGTTTTCAACAGTAGTTGAGGCCTGAAGATTTCTTGACCTTTCACGTTCGACCGTTTGATTTGAAATTGCGGGGTGGGGACAAGTGAACGAAAGTTCATTTTTCACTCGTAAATTTATACGGCGGGGATTGATGTCTATCATTTGACTGCTCGCGGTATTCATCCGGAAAGCATGTGCATTTCAAAGGCTTATACTTGATTTCGAACAGTTATTTTGAGAATGTCAGTTTCTTTGCTGAAATCAGCAACACGTAATTCTCACACTGTGCTGTTTGTCTCATTCGGACGCAGCTCCATTCGATAGACTCCACATAGCCCACTGGGTGCCTGCGTCAGCCTTCATTTGGCGGTTGAAACGACAGTGGACTGACGAAGCTCAGCATTCGAGAAACCAAAGTGCTCAGCTATCAATATCTCTTTTTACAGTACATTATCAAGATCTGTTTGCCGCACAATGATGTAGACGGTTGAGGTTCTTTCCACGCTTTCACATAGCAGCAGGTGACCGCCCCATACTAAACCACATATTTGCTATTGAGAATTCAAGCATTGCACACGTCATTAGTCCACCACCATTTTCGCTCACTGATCCGATTTCAAAGGGACTAGGTGTCTTCTGCGTTTTCCAGTTATTGTCAGCCCGAGCGCTGGAGTTACCCGAAGGCATAAGGGAGTCCTTTGGAGGTGTTCATCTGACCAGGTTCACTAGTTTGTCATAGGACTTGTTCTTCTTCTCATCTAAATGTCATAGTGTGAAGGTATAGGTACCATTGAACGCGAAAACCCTCGCTTTCGACGGCTGCAATAGGATCGCTATCACTGTAGAGTTGATGAAGTCTGGCTTATCCATTATTCCTTTATTTATATGGTCCGCGATTGCAAGTCTGACGCCTTGTTCAGGTCGGCTTTCTGTATTATTTCAATTCGGTGGAAAGCATAATCACATCAAGCTTCGAGTAACATCCGGCAGTTCCATCGGGGGCAGTGAGACCTATTCTGTAGCAGCAAGATAAGCTCACCTTTGAAGCCTGCTTCCTCCATTCTTATCCAGCACAGTCCTTCAAGTCGTTGAAAATGCATCTTACTTCTTTTCGCAGTCCATGTCATGTGTGCGAGACTGACCTTGAGCCTGACCTCAGCCTTTGACTTCAAGGTGTGACTCACATGTCATTGGGGTGCCGATCTATTCCGGGGTTGTAATGAGTACGGCGTGAAAGTCTGAATCCTAGTGCGCAACTGGTGCCTTTTGAGAGGAACCGAACTCACTTTTTGTAATAGTTCAACCGCACTAGTCAGTGTGGCGGTGGATACGGCCAATCGTTGAGCGACTGGAGTTGCGGATTTCAAGGTCGGAATTTTCTGACTCGTCCTTTCCATGGAGAATGCAACATCGCTGCCTCCGTAAATATGGAAACACTTGTTGCCTTGTTCCCACACTCCTTTCCCCGAGAAATTTACGACTTTGCATTCAGTGGGCGACTTTTCGAGGGACTTGCTGCACCTCGTTGGACTGCTCCCTAAAAGTGTTTCTGGAATGACTGGATCTTAATGAACTCAGCTCCAGGTAGTCTATTCCACAGGATCATTACAGAGCCGATGCCTGTGAAATGTCAGGCCCTTATATTCTCAAAAAGTGGGGTTGCGTTAAATCAGCTATTGGAGGATTTTATTTCAAGCTTTTTTGAACGGATTTATATTGCTATTAAGTGATATACAGTAGTACATTCGTTTCAGATGTTAAAGTCCTTGCGTCATCTGCGAAAGAGAACCCGTAAATGTTGTCAAATTCCAGTGGAAAGCGGTGGCCTGTACGATACCATTGCAAGCACTGGCGTTGAAACCGTTAAGTTGGTGTTGTAAAAGTGCAATGTTTTACTGACGAGTGTTCAATAGCTACGCGTTAAGCGCAATAACTCTAGTGTAATAGACTTACTGACTCTGAATGGGTCATCTGTTGGCAATCGGTTTGCCGTGTATGGCCGCTCCCATTCTTGGGAAACAATGCGACTGGATTTCCTGTCCATTGTTTACATTTTTTTATGTTAATTCGCTCTCTTGGCACTTAGGGATCCTCTCCACTTGGTACACGGCCGATGGACGAAGATTGTGCCGGGTAGATGGTCCGCATCTGCATGATGCCCATAAAAGATAATCTGATAATTTGATTAAATCTGCTCTCGAGGGTAATCTACCCATCTCATAAACCATTTCCATAAAATACTTCACTAGCTCCGACTGTGGAGTTCGTTACTAAGGTCTTTAAACGAGGGATTTCCAAACTGCGGTTCACGGGCCTGAACCGGCCGCTGGTGCTTCATGTTGCAGTTGAAACGACTGGCTATGAAAACCTGTTTGAATCATTTCAACCTGAAATATAAACACTAATTGTTCAGCTGTAATACCTTTCCGGTGCACAGCTTCCACGCCACCCGAAGGAAGCACGACAGCTGAGACATTGTCAGGTTTCCTTACTCTAAATAGGAACAGTCGAGATGCAGAGGCTGGGTCTGAACGACGGACCTTACGGTCAGTAAGTTCATGCCTTAACAACTGAGCCACCATGAATCCAGCCTGAATCCTCAGGGCCGAACCAGTCAGAATCGCAGTTTGGACAGTATCGTAAAACGACTTCGCAGGAAATTGTCCCTAAGTGGAAGTCCACGGTGGATTGGAAACCTCAGTCATTGTCCTGAATGACAAACTTTGAATGTTCTTCCATTTGTCTTTACGGGATAAGTTACAAGAGCGACTGTGAGGTTTTCAGATCTAAACAAAACATTAAGGACATGCAGCAGCTCCACAATAGTTTTAGGCGAACCAATGAACAACACTGGAACTGAACTAAGTTAATTGTCAACGATAAAATGAAATGTTAGAAAGGATGCCTTTGTGAATTCGACTGTTGTTTGTATGAACTATCCTTCCCAAAATGAACTGTGTGAAAAATTTTGGCCTCAGAAAGTTGAGTGGTGATAATGTGAAAGTCGTGCAGAGCTATTTAACTGATCCCGCAATTTGCTTGCGCGTTAAAAATGAGATAGCAGCTCCAACTATCGCGTTAATGGACGGTTTTTGCTAAATATTTATTTACTGATGTGCTTGTACATAGGTGAAAGTTGGTAGTTGGTGAAACTTTGAAGTCAAAGTTGTCTTAGAATGTCTGCACGGTATTGGTACGAATGAAGTGGACTAGATTGTGTGCTATGTATTGCATCTGTTTGAGTTGATCAGCGGTTGAGAGTTTTTATTCCATAACCAAATTTTCGGTCACCGTCGGTGACCCTCGTTAAGAGTAAAGTGATCAGAATTACGAGGACAAGACAGTTATTTATCGAAGTATTTTAGAGTGCATAAGGAATGAGCGACGAATTTATTAGCTAACGTAGATCAACAGTTTGAGCCAACAAGTGTACTCTCTTTTTCTGATAACCGATAACTTACAGCTGCCCAGCTTTTCGACCCTCTACGTAACAAGTCTCTAGACCACTTGTTAAAACCTATCTGTCACCCCTTAGATTTTACCCCTTTTTCTATCCAGCTTACGGCCCTCTACATGAGTGATGAGACTGCCTGCAATTGAAAGAGTTGGAGGACCCTTATCCTCAAGCTTTCATAATTACGGACAAGTATCGAATGAGAATGAGTAAATCAAAGTGGAAAGAAAATGACAGCTCTTGCTTCTGACCGCTGCGTGCTAGTCAAATCCACGAATGTACATCAGTTAGCAATCTAAACCACCCCTGGGAAACGCACGTTGACTCTCAAAGTCGTACTCAAGATAGAATCAGCGTTCTTTATCTTCCAATGCTCTCTCAAACTGTTGCTAAGAAGCCTAGACCGTTTGGAGATGTTTCTTCTCAAAAAATGTTTTGCCGCAGTAAGTACTACCGAGTAAACCTATCACGTCATAGGTAAGCTCACTCATTTGCGAATATTCAGACTCCAACGACAATTGGTAGAACGAAAAACAACTCCGCACCAACGCTGTTCGTTCTGTTCATTGAAATCTAACTGTAGTCCATTTTTTCAACTCAACAAAACGTAGAAACTATCGGGTAAATTTGGTTGCTTCCAAGTAATTTCAATGATGCCCCTGAAGTTGTTACAGAAACTTGAGTATGATCTACTTGAGGGATAAACTACTCAAGCATTTGACACTCTTCTCTATTATTTCTGTCGGTATTAAAATGGGAATTTTTGAGGTATGCAGTCTTCGGTTAAGCTGAGGCCGGATCCGGGAAACACCGGTCTCACGAGTGCTTTTGTCTTTACTCTGAGGGAGGTAGTAGGGTAGAGGAACCGGACACGTGACCACATGATTAGTAGTTTCAAGCTGTAACCTTGACCACGCGTCCGCCGGCCGGTTTGTGTATCTGGTCACTTTGATCCATACCTTGATACATGTCACAGATGAGCTTATTTGATTACCTCACGTCTTTCTTCAGACCAACCAAAAATGCCAGCCCTGCAATTCAACCGAGGTTTGACAGAAGCCGTTCTGGTTTATATTTTCCCGTTGTACACAAGCCAAATTCACCTCGGAAACAGTAAACGTCCATTTTTGGGATAAAATGATGTTGGCGCAAGACTCAAATGAACCTCTCTTTTACAATGTGCCACAACTGAATGCGCAACTGAATGGTTCATCTGCGCTGACGCTCAAGATATTGGAGTGTGTTTTCCTTGTACGACTTTGCCTACACGGCCTAGCCCCTATAATTAGTGTGGTATCATGGAAACAGAACAGCATTAGAAAATGGGAGTGTTGCGAGTGGTTTTATGCCGAAACTATTTTATTTCAACATCCTAAAGCTAGTTGTATTTCACTAAAATTGCTTTTTTTTCCCTATCAAAGAAGAGGCCTCATGTTTGACATAATCGGAATTAGAAATACCCTCAGCGTTAGAATACAAAACTGTAGTGAAACAGAAACACCTTCTGGGCTTGAACAGGATCGAATGGTTAATTTCTTCTGGTCAGGTTCAACGTAATTCCGCTCTCTTTTTCTTCAGGGCTAGAGCAAAAGCCATTAATTCACTGATGAAACTGGCCCTTCTGTACGGTAAGTGGACAGAAAAGGGCCTTTAAACATGACATCTGCCACTTCCTTGCGAGCATCCCGGCGCAAACCAGCGGCACATGACGAAGTGCAGACCACTCTGGTTCCAAAGAAACCCAAGTGAGTTCACAAAACCTTGAGGCCCTTTTTTGACGAATTTGTTGTTGTGAATGGTTAAACCAGCCAGAATAACGAAAGCCGGGCACGTCATGACCGAATAGAGTTACGTAATATAAGCTAGATGCACCTACAGGAGTACGAGGCAACCTGAAATGATCACAGGGGAGTACGTACCAGCGAATCTTGTAAGAGTAGAGTCATAGTGTCCGAAATCTGGCATCGCTAGACTCCTTCTCCTTGTAGACCCAAGGAGGGATTTTACAGTGATTTTTATGTTTACTCATGGACAAAAATTAACATTACTGCGACAGTTGCAGTATATCATTTTGATCCTCCTTCATGTACACAAAAGTAACTGATAACTAATCTATCTCTAAATTGGCAATCACTTTCCGCAAGTGCTTTCTTTACTAGTTACTTCATCCTATTGTGTAAACGTATTTGGCCGTCCACTCATAGCAGTGGAATTTTCTACTTTTATCACAGGCTGTCCCTCCATGACCAGTCGAGTTTATTCGTCCAGCTGACATCACGTGTTCTGCTTTCGTTACACCGACTGATACAACCACTCATTTCAGACATCACAGGAGACTTGGACTCTTGAGACCTTGCAAATAAATCTGTTTTTATATGACCGCTTCGCTTAATGTCGTAGGATCGACTGATGGGCCACGAATGAAGTGTATGTGTACAAGGCAACCTACGCCCTTTCACAAGCTCATCAATGGGAACGGAATTTTCACCTGCGTTCTTGGTGCTTCTCTGATTGCTTCTATCTATGATCTCCCGTATTAGCATAAAACGAAGCTTCAGATTGCATTCAGTTCAGAATTGTTGGCTTGTGGCCTACTGATAACCACAGCAGTGGCTCAAGTATGGTCCTCAGAATTCGAGAGGCTACCTGCAGACAGAGGCCTGATCCATGTTTTCTGCATTCAGATATGTAGTCAACCAACTGCTTCACGGTTTGTGTGGAGCAACATCCCTTAACTAACAAATACTCGCTTCAAGGGCCAAACGAGTTTGTGACATGGATTTCGGTGTACTCGGAGCTTTTCACTGTCTGCGACTGATTAATCCACTTTTCTGTCGGGAACATCTGGGAGGCCATTGGTTGATTTCACTGAACCACAGTAAGCCGAGCGTCATAAATGTTCGCTGTTCGTGTTGTGGGCTTAAAAAGTCAGGGTTTGGCATCATGCACCTATATAAGTCTCTGTGCTGCCCACGTACTTTTTTGTTCTTGGATCACTAGTCATCAATTATAGTTGGCCTATACGTCTGTCGGTCAATCACAAACAGCATGCAGTTGCCGGTGTTAATGCTCTACGGAACCCCGAAAACTAGCTATACGAACGAGAAAACGGGGAGCACTAACAATGTCCGCTTGTTGAGTAAAATTGTTACAAGAGATATATATGCAAACAGGGGACTTGTCGTTTTGCAGGTACAGTTCGATAAATCCTGTTGTAAATTCGGATGCAGGTTTCGTGTCTTCGCTGTTGTAACAGCCACACGTAGTCCTGGATATCCGTGCGTGAAACGCCGTAAAAATCCTGAGCGGCTCTGCTCCGAGCTGAGCGATTTGCGAAGCTCTGTTGGATTTTGTCGTGTTGCTGTGCTGGCATCCTATTTGTAGGACGTTTGCGTGTGTGTTGGTGTCAACACATGACTTTGTGCTACCGTATCAGACGGTAGACAGTCGATATCGGATGCGCATCGTGGTTTGTACTATTGGGGAAAAAACGAGGTCTTGGGATGAGGGGCTTGACTGTGAGCTGTGTAGTCACGTTAGTCACGATTGTAGCGTGATTTATGAGTGCAAGGAAAAAAATAGATCTCGTGATCCAGCGTGTGGCGGTGACCTGTACAATCATGTATATGGCGAAAGGGTAGCTCCACCGGGCTAGCCACCACCGCGTTCACCTTATAGCACAAAAGATGGCTGAAGCCTGATCAGGAGAAACTAGATTTTGCTACAATCCACTTTTCCCGAGGAACTCTGTGTTGTTGAGCAATCGAACTGACTTACCGTGATACTCCTTGTGTGTATCCCCACACCACTGAACTGGTGAACAGCGAGGTTGGCACTCTTCTAGCACTGCCACACACCGTAGCCCCGTCCTATCGGACAGAACAGAATTGCATGCAGGAAAACAGCATGAATCTTTGAGATATTGGTACGAAATAGCTCCTGTCTTCGGTTTTGGTGAGTCTGAAAGATAAAAACAACTCCATATTTGTCGGAAGTTGGAATGGAACGTATTGCCTAAAATGTAATTCCCATGGGAGTTGCACTTTAACTTGGTCATTCGTAGACGACCCAGAGATAAATGTGGATATTACCTTTTCCTATCAGCACGGATTTACTGACGTCTTGCTAGTTGTCGTTGTTTAGGAAGTGTGACGTGAGCGTGGATGCAAGCGGCCATTTCGGTTGACTGCTTTCAGTGATGTGCTAGATCAGATAGTTTATTTAGGGCTCGCAGCTAATAACCCTTATCTTCTCAGTCACACGCTGCTACATCACATAACCGTCTGTTCTTCTATTGGTAACTCCACCGATTATCAATCCAGATTTCTGGCTGAGCTAGTTCCTACTTCGCTCTTTGGGGTTTCATTGGTCTTAGTTGTGCTCCAGCCCTCAGCTTATTTTCAATTTGTAGGGCCAATTTTAGTGACTAATGGATAGGGTGGTGCTGTGCTAGGCGTTTAGTTTACTAGGTGATTGGATGAAGACCAGCACCATCGACTTGAGTATACAGAAGTATACACGGAGACAACTGACATATCTCCGGTACCGCAATCCAAAAAAGTTGGAGTGACTGATTAGGGCATGCGGTAAAACCAGATGCGACTCAAGGATCATATCGCGATAGGTGGAATTCAGCTGGCAGATCATGACAGCAGCAGCTCTTCTGCCTTTATGTCCTCTCCGTAAAGTTTCTGTCCTGTTACGACCGTGTGACTGTGCACGTCAGTTGCAAGGGATCTGTTGTTCATCTCTCCGAAATTAGTATTGCCGAATAGAGTAGTGTAGTAAATTGAATGCAACCGCCCTTTTAACCTCCTGCACCTCTGAAGAATACTCATCATCCGGTATCCCTGTAAGAAGGGAAGGATGTTGCCCAGTCCCTATACTGTCAGTTCTTAAGAGGAGTATCGTATTTCGGTCAATATAAGCGATAGTGTGTAGATCAACTTGAGACACGCAATGGTCTATTTTACTGATCTCTCTGGAATACGTCAGTCGTTTCGGTCGTCACAGCACATATATAAAAATGGCAGTTATCTATGTTTTTTGTCGGACTGAAAATTTTGCTAGCTTGGTCTTTCTCAATTTGGTGGAAGTGGCCCACATTAGTGAACATTCATCCAAACCTATCTGATCATTTGCGTGACCAATGACCCTGAGAGTACGCTATCGAGAGGTTAAACTAAACTCAAGGAGTCTGAGAGCGGTCTATCGGACAGTTCACTTGCCTGTATATATGGCCGGGTGCTTTTATGATTGCCGAAAACCTTTGGTCAAGTCATATGGGTCACAGTCTGAGGGACTGTATTTTCTGACCAAGGGAATGCGTAAAATTGAGCGTCGGGCACGTGGATCATCAAAACTAGATGGATGGCTTTCTACACGAGAGGGCCCTCTGTGTCTATCGTATCCCATGGAAGATTATGGTCCACTGGGGCTATTATTTAGATCACGCTGCTAACTCTCGCCAGTAGACAGTTGTTCTGGACACGAGTGGTCCGACCGTCTGAGATACTCTCACTTTGAGGCTCACTTGCAGGAACGCGGTATTTTCACAGTTTATTGGCTTATTCTATGTAAATGAAATTTGAGTAAAAAGCCATCTTAACAGGTACCATCCCCTTGACATTGTATGAGGTCAGCGTAACAGGTCATACTTGGTGTATGGACTAGCATGGCCGAACATGGCAGCTGAGAGAACGTTTACAATGTCATCTCCAGCTTGCCTCTTCCATTAACAAGCAAATGAGTTGAACTGTATGAGTTTCAGTCGACTTCATGGGAGTTCTGGTAGCGCTAGGCCATTGTGAATCCGAGTCCATATGGAAACTTTAGGAATAGTGCTTATTGGGATGCTGAACGTCATAGACGAGATTTTATACCATTCTCCACCGCAACTTATCTTTCTTTATCTTCAGGCCGACTGGCTTGGTTTATGATCCGCGTATGACTCTACACAAGCACGAGTGGTTTTCGAACGAACAGGAATCTCCTGCACGCATTCAGCGGGCCTTCAAACGTTGCCAAGAAGAAGGTCTGGTGATGCGTTGCACAATGGTTCCAGTGAGTCCTAGTTACTACACTTTTGCATAGATGCATCAAGCGTTGACTTAAATTCGTATACAAACTGGCCTAATACAATATGTCTTAGCTCGCGGGAAAACTGAGTGATACATATGAGGATAGTTTTTAAAGATTTCTTACCTGGTACCCTGGACTGTGTCTGCACCGGCAGAAGAATCCTTATTAGATTCGTGGATGACCCAAAATAGTGTGCATTGGCTGAATACTTGCCTTAACCTAGCGTCTTCTCATGCTATACAAACGAGTTTCAATTAGATTAGGTTTTGAATTACGAATATCTACGATCTGCTGTGTTTTTCCGTTCTACGTCATACATTGTGTTTGGGCTGTGGTATAAATAGAAGATAGAAAGTGCTTATTTGTATCGGCCATACAGGGGAAATACATTTTGCCAGTTTTTCACTTAAAAGCCGACAAGGATGTTCAGGCGCACATATTAGGCAGTCAGTCTGCACCGGCTGTTCACCAGCCGAATTGTGATCAGACAATAGTTGAAAGATGGACTTCCTTCACAGGCGATTTCGAACCGTGTCCATTCGCCTGCTTGCTTATGTGGGGCTAGATATATCAGCCTTACGACACGACTGTTATCTAAACGAATAGCCCAATATAAATCAACCTTGGCTAGCGAAAGATTTCGCTTGACGCATAAACAGTTCTGTTTTGGCTTACTAGTAGATACTGGACGCCACACTGATGCAGCCATACTTTGCAAGATCACTCAAGAGTGCCAAGGAAACAGATGTTGAGTATAGCTGATGCTGTCACCATCCACCTCCACAGGCTACCGTTCTGCATTTAGAGACTTTTTATCCAGATGTCACATTTACAGTGGCGTATTCACAACTTTCTGGACTCTACATGCCAACCAAAACCAATACAACCGGACACTCTCAGTGGTCCGTACGTAATACATGACCCCAATACTCCCAGTGATCCGGCCCTGCTCTAGTCGGACCCCTGCGTTACATTTTTTCTTAAAGTTGTTCTTACCATCTATTTACTCCAATTGTTCTCAGTATTCATACACCAATGAATTCGTTTTACCCTATGTATTTATCCGAGTCTGGTGATAAGATATTGAAAAGGAATCCTTCACTCAAATGTCTGTTCGAAAACGATTTATGAGAGTATTCCAGCAGATGCAATGGACTCAGAACGTCTCTCGTGAAAAGCACGGATAGGTCATAGGTTGGAGGATTAGCCAAGCAACTGCAGTCCCTACGACATGAGCTGACTAAAGTCCAAATTAACGTGAACCACAGTGACTCCGCATCAGACTCTCAGTCAGAGTTGTTTCATCTACTAGCAAACCGACCTAGTGAAACTAGTGAGTTTACAGTACGGAAAGTCCCTCAGGGTTAGCTATTGCTGGGTGATTGTTGAGATTTCGTTTTCAGCTTATGCAAGCTTCTGAATACCACCCAAGATGTATTGCTTAACTGTCAATTGAGCTTTACAGGTTTGCTCAAACAAAATCTTCGATCCACCCTCTTTGGATTTTAAGCAGCCTTTTCTCTTAGCTTCTTTCATCATGTGTGCTTCAGCTCCTATTGCATTCTAATTGCTTCAAAGCCATCGCGTTACTTGAAATGATTAAACGGGTGAGGTTGAACTGCTTAGACTTTCATTCTGATAATGCTTCAATATTCTATGCTTGGTTTCTCAGTTGGTTTTTCACCATCCATCCGTTCTCGGGTAAATCCACTTTCATTTGCGTTTGTTTACCGTTTACTTCTCCCATCAGGCTCGTCAGATCAGCGAGCAGGCCCTAACATCCATTCACGGCCGAAAATACATCCAGCGCGTAAAACAGTCTCGGAATTTCGCGCTACCGGAGCTCTACAAACTTTCGGGACAGTTCGATGGTGTGTTCTTCAATGAGGTGCGTGCGTGTATTATATGTCTTAACAGTACACAATTGCTCACCACCCCGGTTTCAGTCAGATGGAGTAAACCTCTTTGAACACTTAATAGTTATGTCTGAAGAATTTTATTGCCAGAGTTTTGTGGAGAAGACTTTTGCATCGTAGACACATGTTTTCAAGACTCTTTTTTTCGATATGACGACCATGAATCATCGAGACACGTAGGTGGCCTCAGATACAGGCTGAAATGTGTACCAACTTTTCCTGTTGAAATATCACAACTTCCACCTTTGTTCTCCAACACTCAAGTTTGCTTGCAAGAACTTGATATCAGATAACTGTTTCACATCAGGCTACTACAATCATAGAGCATGAGTTATTGGGATTGAAAAAAGGCATAGTTTGAGATTGCTGTCCCCTCCGGTTCACCACATTGCAAATCTTTTAAGGTTACTTTTGGCGAAGCATCTTCTTTTCGTACAACGTCAAGCTGATGCCACTGTTTGATCTCTCATACCCAGGCTACCTGGACAAGTTCTTGCTTAGCTGCTGGCAGCTTGAAACACCTTGCCAACCTCGTGGTTCACGGTCGCTTAGCCAACGGCTTCGCCTTGCTGCGCCCGCCGGGTCATCATGCCATGCACTCAGAAGCCTGCGGCTATTGTTTCTTCAACAATGTTGCCATTACGGCTGCAAGCTTCTTAGATCCGCCGCCAAATGTGCTTCAAGTGGAACAGAAGGTTGGTCCAAATGTCCGGAGAACACGATCCAGGTCAAAGGGTACCATGGATATAACAAGGGACACTACAACCAGTGATGCACCAAACCTATCCAACGCTGACACAGCATCAAAGCTTGGTTCTCGAGTCAAGCTCGAGCGCATACTTATTGTAGACTGGGACGTACATCATGGACAAGGTACACAATATGCATTCTACCAAGACAAGCGGTAAGGTGTTTAACTGATCAGCTATTGTATTTTTTGCACTCATCTCTCCTTGCAGACTTCCTTTTAGAGCGGCATACGTACTGTGTGGTACCTGCTAGTGGATCGCTCAATAGGATTCCTCCAAATTTAAAACTATGTAGGGCCACCTGAGTTTCATCATTTGGCGAAAACGAATTAGAATAACTTCACTGAATAAAGTTGACCATTTTCCGCTTTACTAAAGTAAAACGACCGAAGCTGTGAACTTGACTTCAACTGAATATACAGTGAGTGTTTATGGTAATGGTTAACATCAAAAGTCAAGTTTGAGGGCACGATAGTTCATTCCCAGCGAGACTCCGTAATTGGCACATAACCTGAAATAATTCTAATGACGGTCAGATTCTGACAGTCTCCATGCTACTGGTAAATGTGAGGACAGAAGCGGTTGTAGACAAGATGCCTCTGTCAAGTGCACTTACTGGCCCCGACCATTTTAACCGGTGAGGACCCAATGTACCAGTCGAATTTAACCATGGCTGTACAGCCCGTGTGCTTTTAACAATAGGAGATTATCATCCCTTGTCTTTGCACACTGTCACCTTTTTCATTCACAGGGTACTGTTTATTTCGATGCATCGGTTCGAGCAAGGTAACTTCTGGCCAAACCTTCGCGAAGCCAACTATGATTTTATTGGTGACGGTCCTGGACGAGGATATAATGTGAACATTCCTCTTGATGAGGTGAGCTCTTTGAATCCCCTTATGTTAAGGAGAAATTTGTTATGCAGTTTTGTTTGATATCATCTTACCTGACTGGCGCTCAAACTAAGCAGAGGATTCGTTTTCCCTGTCTGTTCGGCGCCACCAAGCAGCCGTTTGATTGATCTCGCAAATGTGTCTCATGGATAAGTGCATGAGATAAACATTGATGATCGCACCCAGTTGGCCAACGATATGGAAAGCGGATGTCAGAAACGGGTGAGAGTCATCTTCACATCGTGAACGACTGTCACTAGTTTTATGGGGGTCGAACATAGGGTAGGTGAATTCTTGCACTTTCTCTAGACTTATAACCCCTATTTCTTTGAACAACTGCTTGGCTTGTGTGCGTAAAGAAGTATGCAGAGTCCGGAAGCGTTAGCGGTCCACCATTGGATGGATTACCCACTGGTATTCATTCGAAAGTTGGCTTTGTGTTCGCGCAGAGCGATTTCTTACCCTGCATTTTGCTTGATTTTCCTGCTAAAGCATCGTCTTGAACTTGTAACAACGGTCAGTTGGCACCCTCAAATCATGGGTCTGTCATTTGTTCCATCTCGGTTTATTGTGAACTGACAACTCACCGAATCCAGTTGTGCCAATCGATCGCGCTGCAATATCATCTAGGTCAAATGCTGAAGCAGAATGTAGCTCAATAAGCATGCCACCTCGAACCCGTCAGCATTTGCTCTAATTTGTTCTAGAATATCATTTCAATGAGTGACTTGAATAAAGTCTTTACACATGAGCGTGGCGCTCTCACTGGACACAATTTGTGAGACTTGCGAGCTCGAGAACGAATTTGGCTTCATTTGTGACATTCACAATCCATTCAAATCCAGCTTACACCTGAATGGTTCATTTAACACTCTGGTCTCGGCAAAGAAATCCTGACTTTTCTCACAAGGGTTTAATGACCCTGAGGATAGTATTGTCTGCTCAGCAAGAGGAGACAAACTAGAAGCTGTCTCCACTGAGCGCACCTGAATAGTTGAAACGTACGTAAATGTAACGATAGGATTTATTTGATAACTATTGATAATGTATATTGTACGCTGTGGCCACCATAAAGGTCGAAACACATGGGGTGACCAAAACTGGTCACTTTGGAGAAGTGATCTGTGCCGAAACGCTGAATTACGAGTGAGGTGCTGTAAACGTATCCCTTCAAGGTAAACGTAAGAAGTTGTTGAGCTGTCCTGACTACATTAAAGGTTGCTCGGAACGAACGTTTGGAGATGGAAGAGTCAGGATTACCTGAGAGACGTCTAAATAACACTTGTTTAGATTACATTTCGTTCTACTGAGACCATTATAGGGCGCCACATTGTGTACACACTAAAGTACACGAACGTTTGCGTCGAATCAAACTAATGTAACGTGAGTCATCCGGCTGTGTGCGATCGTTCAAAGTCTAAATTCTCATCATACGTGTCAAGTGCTACGTTCAGGCATATACAAATCGGCATTTACAAAGACAAAAAAAGACTGAAAATCGGTCCGACGAGGCGGATTTGAACCACCGACCTAAGGATAGCTGTGATGCACTACAGTCCTCCGCTCTACCAACTGAGCTATCGTCGGACAGAGAACGATTCGATAGAGTCACATCTGAATCGCTCCATGTTTGATGTTTGCACTCTGGTTCGTTTCTCCGTCACAGTCGACAGTCAGTAAACTTTGAAGATTGATTTGGGCTTAGCCTACGACGAGAGTCGTTTTTGTTGTTATTTGTATTGAACCTTAGCTTGTATACTTCCAGTATGAGGCTCTTTTGCACTGCTGGATAGGTATACATGGAAGGGCACTACCAGGTATGTTTAAGGTTTGCTTGCTTGGTTGAGTTAGAAAGCCTGAACGCAGTGTTTCAAAATAAGTTCAACTGGCCTCTTTAGAGGCCCAGTCCGACACACCAATATATGGACCCACTCATAATTTCTTTCGCTTCATTAACCTGCGAAAAGACGCTAACGAATGATAGAAGAATGGCTGGTCGCACATCTCTCACACAGTAATGCAAGTAAGAAGCAGATGCATTACATGACCCTTGCTATGGGAGGCTCTTTGACATCAGTCCACTGCTGTGTGTGCTCAAATTCATGATTTCAGATTGGTGTTGTGATTGTGACGTCCAACTTTGGAAGGATTGTTCAACCCTCTGGACCACATCCATCGTAAGGCACGCGGCCTGAATTGGGGAGATGCTAGTTTTATTGATTACGAACTATTCAACCAACCTCTGTCTGCATTAATGTCACGAACACTTCTTTGAATCCAAAGGCTATCGCACTTCTGCAGGGTTGGCTGATCCAGCTGCTCGTCCATCCTCCATTTTCGTAGACAGATAACAAGACTTTGAAAAGATCTAGAATGTTCCGTTAGCGTCCCACTGTTTTATCCATTTCAATGAACTTTCCCTGTGTCAATAGCTGAAGGGCATAACAAAGCAATCAGGATGTTATCCCGGTTCACATTATCACAGCTAACCAGTGCGTGCTAGTACCACCATGGTCGACCATGTGGCATGTGGATTCAGGCACAGATTAGTTTGGCCATGATTCTGTCGTGCTGAGTACCAATGCTGATGCCGATTCCCACGCCGACTCATCACCTAATTATCATGGAGTCATGGGAACAGTTCATTGTGGAAGGGTCACAAGCACTGCTCCATAGTCATGCAACCTTGCTTGTGGCTTTGTGTATGTCTTTTCCTTCGGCGATAGTAGAGGGTCAACAACAGTGAGCAAAGGGGGGGGGGGTCAACGGAGAGAGTTAGGACAGTTTGGAATGTGGTTTGCGAAGTATGTGTCCTGGACACTATGGTGGGCTTCAACTTGGAGAGGCGTAAAATATCCAAAAATAGTTCCGTGACACTTCCTGAGTAGGCTGCCGTTCTAAAGCACCTTCAGTATTCGCCGCAAGTACATTCTTCGAGTCCGAGAAGACCCTTAGACCGGAGAGGCCGGATCTGAGAGACGTGGTCGTTCAGTTGTAACACCCTTTCGGTGCATAGCTTTCATGTGTTCCGAAGGAAGCACGAGGGTTGAGATACTGTCAGGCTACCCAAGCCTAGACAAGAACAGTCGAGATGTGGAGGCTGGATTCGAACCACGGACCTTCCGGTCAGTAAGTTTCCCACACTAACTACTAAGCTTTCCCGAGCTCACAGGCGTATGTTAGTGTGGATCGGGCGATCGCGTTGTACATGAGAAGCTTCGTTCGAAAGCTGAGTTTTGAGCTTTTGCACATAGCAGTGTAAAGTTTGAAAGGTTTCCTGGCGTTATTGATATGAACGACTATTTCTTACTGTAACTGGTCATTTTCCGAGGATGATGAAGCCAAACTACCTACAGGAATCAAAGTAGTTTATGAGCTCTTAATTGACAATGGGCAGGCCAGAGCGGATGTTTCTGCTTATGGAGAAGAATTTGGTCAGAATGTATTTTCAACCCAATCGTTGCATCATTGTCACCGGAGCAATCAAGGATAAGGGGCGTTTCTACGGGGTCCTTTCAAGGTGACAATATAATCGACTTACAAAAAGTTTCTGATCCATGCGGTGGACCTGTCTGTACTCTTTTCAGATCGATGAGAGTATTCGAAACTGTCCTGTCGGTCGTGATACTGAAAAGCAGCTGCAAAGCGGACAAATCTGCGGAACTCCAGGATTTAAGCAAACTCAGACGTGAGGTTTACTGCTTGAGTGATAGGCTCTAGCGAAATTCAGCAGTTTTCCTGGCATGCCATCGGCCTTCAAGGATAACCAAAGTTAGTCCTTACTGACTAAGTCCGATACTGCGCTTAAGTCACTGAAGCAAGTGATAGTCATTGGAACTTGTAGTAGTATTCTAAATTGGTCTGATACCTTAGTTGTTCTCACAGACCGGTCTGTCACCCTCTTGAGCATCGATGGTGCTCTGGGATACTTCATTCCATCGGGAACACTTTAATACGCAAAACCCCTTTTGAAGAGATTCGAGGACTACCTGCGCACAGGCTTTTCAGGTTTCCAGCAGAGTACGATCTTTGGCTGGGAACTTTCTGTTCATCTGCAGTCTAACTTTGGCTAATTCGCCTTGGCTGGGGGCATTGCAATTAATGGTATCTGGTGTGAACTTAGTAGTCTTTAGTGAGTGGCTGCTGTTTGAAGGGAAGGTCTATTAGTGACATTTACTGTTCAATCCATCTCCTCAGTTCTTTCTTGCAGTCCGTTCTTAGTTGACCATGGATGTCTCGAGAACTATTTTATTGATCTTGTCGTTGAGCCGAAACAGGAGGGATCTACAAAAAAGATCTGCGAATAATCACCAACGTTTACATTTTTGATAGAATCTATTTCTAGCCAGTAATCCATATGATGTTTTCTGGCTCAGCGAATTGTCTGGTGACGTAATCTGCGGAATTTGGAAGTATTGATCCTACAGGTTTGGGCGGTTTTGCCCAGAGAGTTGATTAGTTCTTTCGAGAATGCAATCCTTATGACTTGGCGATGTAAGCCCGATATTTGATTCGTTCGCCGCTGCATTGATATCCGTAGATACAGACAGGACTCTTCGACGGAGATTGGTAAACCTCAAAAATGTGACGGTAACCAAAAGTTGAAGACGATTTCCGGGCACTTCAGAGCAGCTAACCTAAATTCGTTTTGTAAATCCTAATTTGTACCGAGTATAAAGGCCGAGTTTAAACGCGACGGGTACAGTGACATGGTTTGTGTCGCATTTATTCTAATTTTCCGCTCAATGATGGGATTTATAGTCCTCAACAAAAATGCCTGTTGGTCATCCAGCAGGATGTATTCCACAGGGTGTAGTCCGACTGTCACTGGAGTGCCAGGTGAATAGATGCCTTCTCGGGTGTTGGAAAGGTCTGTTAAATATCATGATTGGATTCAGGGCCAAAGGCCATTCCCACAGAGCTTTCGTGAGCCAAACTTCTAAAGCCCAAGTTTTTGCATTCCTGTCGCTAGTATCCGACAGGATATCACGTTTGGGCACACGGTTGATCGTCTGTAACTAACCGTAGAAATTGTCTCTTAAGGGTAAGAGCCACACAGTACAGACTCAGTTCTGTGTGATGCATCCAGTAGGATGGCTTGATCCATGGTATTGATGCGTTGTGAACTGAGACTAAAAACTCACGTCTTTGGCTGCCAGTGTCGATTCGTACGCTAATTTGGTCGTACCAAGTACCGACCAGGAGTCCATGTTTTCCTCCTGGCATTTGAAACCCATCAGTGGCGGGGGACACCCGCCGTGTGTTAGTGTCTTTATTGGGTTTATGTTGCATTCTAAAAGAATCCCAATAACTGGGAGAGAATCCACCGCGCCTTGATGGTAGCATCGTCAGAGCTTTGTTGGCCCATTCGCAGGAGAGGTCACATCATCTACCACAGTTAATAGTAGTGTGTGGTCGCCAGGATAAGTCACACCCCCTTGTCATAAAGTTTCCTTCTAGTCTTCATTGTTTGTTGGTTAACTCAAGTTCATTTTGCCACAGAGAACAGATGATTTAATATCCACTGTCGTGAGACCAGGTAAGTCATATCAGCTGTACCATTACGTCTTCAGTTCCGCTGTGACATCGCCCAAGGCCTGCGACTGGGTACTGGTAAACAGAGGGTGTTGACGGTCTTAGTTCACCTCACACCTGATATTTACTCGTTCGATCATAGCTTCTGGGACACGTAACTTACGCCGGTCACCGTAATGCTGCTATGAGTTCGTCTAGATTGGCGGAGTAACGTTCTGACCTTCAGCATGGTCGTCTAATATTGTGAGATGAAAGGACAGTTATATTCAACTGTACTCTACAGTTGTATTCTACACACCGATGTGAATCTACTATTTTTTTTCGAGTCTATTATAGGGCGTCCCAAACAAACAGAAATGACTAAAATTATTCCGACGAGGCGGATTTGAACCACCGACCTAAGGATAGCTGTGATGCACTACAGTCCTCCGCTCTACCAGCTGAGCTATCGTCGGACAACGAACGACTTGATAGACTGACAGCTAAACCTTTCCATGATCGATGTTTGCACTTTGGTTCGTTACTCTGTCACCCATTTTCAGTAAACATTGACGCTTGTCTTGAGTATAACCTGCAATAGTAATCATTTTTCTCGTTGTTTGCTTTCGGCTTCAAGTAATGTAGCAGATCATCTTTAGTACTTTCACCATGTCGGATGTATATCTGCGTAATCGCATCACCAGGTGTTTGCTAGCCCTGTCTGCGTAGCTGTTCTGAAAACCTTAAACGCAACTTCTTAGACCGTCCCATCCCGAGGTATCACCTGATGGCAGTGTCAGTGTGTCAGGCCGTGTTGAGGTTTGTTTCCCTTTCTTTAGGGCATCGGAAGTGAAGAGAAGCTTGAATAAAACTAGCATCCAATTGATTACAATCTTCCGCAACAGCAAGAAGAATGGTCTCTTTGTGAGAAGTCACCGTCCCTCGAACTAAGAACATTTATGTGTGAGATTAGCCTTGCAACTGATACCATCTGAGAGACCACTTATGTACCTACGAACGCAGACCACTCTCAAAGTTCTGGTGACATGCACTACTGTCCAGGAAACATTGCTTCTCCGGTGTGTGTGAGGAACAAAGTCACAATTCTGTTCTCTGCGAAGAGGGCTCCTCAGATCAGACCACTACTGGAAGGTCCTCAGCGCATAGTTCCACTGGCTAGACTGCTTCCAGGAGGAACCTAGTGTTGAAAAAGTTCACAATAGTGACTGCCTGCAGGCAGCCTTTAGGGAAGGAACATATTTGCTACATTTCTTTACTCTAAAAAGGCCACCTAAAAAGATCTACTCAGTGGTTTCAATTTTAGCAAAGAGTGGTCTTCTGTCAACGGGCCACCACAAAAATTGAACATAAGCGGTTCATCGAATCGGTCTTATCTCGAAGGGTATTTACCACCAAAATACTCTTCATAGACCAAAACTGTCTTTTTTCAATTGGTGTTCTTTTTAATGCAGTCCTTATGACTTTCCTCAAAGTTGCGTTTTTCTTGGACGACTGAGATGATCTTTATGTCGGGATGTGTGCTGCACCGCAAGTGTTATAAAAGAGGTTCACCAAAGGAAAGCACCAACTTCAATGTATCATTGTAATGAATTGGGTTTCCCGCATTGTTATTCGCTCGTAAAAGGAGACCACTGTCTCTCCAACCGAATATTTATTAGAACGTTCCTCATGTCTTGTTCTTGTTAAGGGTACTACTACACTATCTCACTTGAACATCGTTATCTGCAACCCTGATGGCACAGACAACGAATGTGTGTCCGGCGGTTAGTTGTGTAAATGGTCGCGTGCGCGCGCCCGCGCACAGCCTGGTACAAATCGGATGCATTCATCTAGTGATTCTCAGCTCGGAGAAAAAACCCCTGGACCTGAAGAGCAAAACTACTGAAATGTTTAATTTTGGTCCGATTTTTTTTCCGCTAAGTCTGTTTTTTGGTCCCCGCGTTATCTATAAGTCATAGCATAGTTGCTAACGGGACGTGTGTCTGAACCGATTTGGCGCTCAGCAGCGACAAAATATGCGATTGCGTTTTACGTGTGCACAACCTTAGTTTGGTCTGCGTCCTCACCTCACTCGTCGCAATTTATGGTCTGATATGCAAGCCAAATACGTGTAGGGTATTGGAACACGTCCCACTGAAAACGTTCAATAAGTTTCCTATTTCTCAGTCACGAAAAATTCGCTGAGCAGTCATGTGGTAAAGGAGGAACAATCAACTGTCTCACATCGTGGCCCATTCAAAACTATCCTGAAATGATGTGAAGTTCATGGCCGGAGAGCGAAAATCAATCTTGTCACTTTGTGATCCATTATTTTCGCAGAAATTTTTGTACCTTTTTGCCTTAATCTTAGCTGTGACAATCGTTAGACCGTTCCTGTTAACACCGATTTAACCAAGTGCGCACTTCCGGAAGACCTTAGTTTTTAAGAGATGTGTACGGGGTGGATGAGTCCCATTTGCCCCTTGGTCCGATGTGTGTTCCTGTGATGGATTACAAGAAGTATGCTTTTGTTGCGTTTATCCCTCCCAAACTTTGGGAATTCTCAACAGCCCATGAGCCGAAAACTGGATGAAGCTTTACCAACACTGTATGGATGGTAGCCCAGTTTAAGCTGCTATGATATTTTCAACGCACTTTGAGTAAATTGGACAGCCTGAATTTTAACTGAGGTCGGGAATTTCCACTCCGGGTATGTGGTTATAACCAAGTAGCAGAGATATATCCAGTGCTTTTATTTGTGCTAATGTATCTTTGTCGTTCAGTTTTTTTAGGTCACTTATGTTTGCGAACGAAGTAAATGATCACATCCGAGACTTGGAATTACGTGTACCATGTCGTCTTTTATGAGCCTTACATCATCGTCGTCTAAGTGGTCGGAAACGAAATAAGTCCAAGTTGCCCGTTGACTAACCTCTCTTTCGGGGCGAGTAATATTAATTTTATGAATATCAAGGTTCATCCTCCCAACTAAAAATAATAAATTTATAGTGGTGAGCAAGGATACTAGTTCTAAATTATCGTTCCCCTATTGGAATATTTTCCTCGGATCAACAAAACATGCAGAGTTGGATGACATATTGCGGTGCATCAAAAAAGGTCAGTAAGTCAGTCTCGACGATCACAGAACAAGCTGAACTGTACTGTGTCGCTGAGTGGTTGAAATAGCCTATCAATCAGTGCAACGACCGAACACACCTAATTCCCGTTGATGGTTCTTTTTAGATTCGTACCCTACAATTTGTTAAAAATCCATAACAGCATTCCCACCTTCCATGTTGTTTTAAGCCTACTATTGCGTTGAGAGTTGAACTTCAGTTGAACTTAGTTCTCTTTAAATCAATCACTGAAGAGCGGCAGAGTGAAGGAAATCGTAAGTCAAGGCATCTCAATTCCAATCACTGAAGAGCGGCAGAGTGAAGGAAGTCGTAAGTCAAGGCATCTCAATTTACCCAGCGCTGGCCTCGGTTCTTTGTCAGTCTGGCCGCCTCTTATTTCAAAGGGATGTTTGGAATTCGGCTTTGATGTTATCAACTGTCACACCAGCGCCTTATATTATCAGAGAATCATCTTAGTATTGGATTTCGGAGTTATTTGTTCAAATGATATAGACATCGGTTCTTCCTCCTGGAGGCGATAACATGTAAGCATGCACCAACAATGGTCTCTTCTGAGTGTGGTCTCTTCAAAGCCAGACAAAACCATACCACTTTAATTTAATTCGCATATGCAGAATTGTACCGTGTGGGTTTGCCTTCCAGACCGGTCTGACAGACTCGGATTACTTGGCCATGTTTCATCAACTGATCATGCCCATCGCAATCGAGGTGAGCAACACGTTGCCCCGTTTTTGTGCGCATGCCTTCATCACTGGTCCAGGTAACATTATATTATTTGAATACCCGGCCCAATAGCACTCAAGAACTATCGACTTCCAACGTGTTATGTAGCTCAATTGTTTTTGGTAGAGTGCATGGGGGGGGGATGAATCTTAATGATCTGTTACTATATTCTTGTCTTCGGTAGGATTGATTCGTGCATCTCTGATAAGAAGATAGTGGGTACCACTTTTTGTAGTCCGTTTCGATGTACTGTTTTTTTTAACCAATTTGTTGACTTCACGTGGTAGACAAAACTACCCTAGAGTCGTTTGTACCAATAGAATGCTTTATTTTTAACATTACTTATCGAAGCCTTATGTCGTAACAGGTGCGCATCGTTTGTTTTCCTGTCGCTGGTCCTGTGTTCGAAAATGACCTACGGGCGATATCAAGTAAAGAACGACCTTATTCCGTCATTTGTAATACTGCAAGGTTGTTTCCTGAGGGTAAAAGATCCAAGATACAAGACTCCGCTATTGGTCACACCTTTGGACTCTCATTGAAAGCTCCATAGAATTAATTACAATAGTGTTCCTTCTGTCCAGAATTCATGAATAACCTTTTTATAGGGGTTACACGGTCATTTCAACTCCACTAACAGACATTATGCTGTATGACGATTACCTAACGTGTTTACTGTACGGAACGTTCTGAAGTGCAGCATCATTACAATGCTCTGTGAAACTCGCCAATTTTCATATCTCTTTGGTGATATTGTTTGGTGATCGAATTTAAAGGGCTGTTGGTAACGTTCCTGTCTTCCAAATGTTCCATAATATCGCCCCTGTGTTTGATCCTTTTCACTTTCCGGTCAGTTCAACCCAGAACTTGTGCTTGTTTCGTGCGGATTCGACGCAGCCATCGGCTGTCCGGAAGTAAGTGCTTCTTGGTTCGGCGACATATTGATTCAGGTGAAACTAGGTGACTGGGTGACTATTTGACGCACCTAAGCATTGCTAGTTCCTAAACAGCAGTAGTGAAATTCGATGGGAATTTATGACTTTTAAGTTTGTTTTAATTTTTTCAGCCTACCGGTTTCATCATAGTACACAACCTACAAAACCTCAACTGATTAAAACGTGGTCTGTATGAGACCCTGATTGAAGCCTTCTAGTTAGTCTATGTACCTCTAAAACTTTTATCTCGAATACTCCCACTTGGTTTCAGTGTGAGGTCCGAAAGTGCCTCTATCACTTTCGTTTCCTGGTCTTTTTCCAGCACGCTCTACTCTACTCGCAATAGTTGTTAAAATTGTTCCAGCTCGACCCTCTCACTCCATTAGCCATGTAGCAATTTTGAACAAGGTGATGTGGATTATTTTCTTTATAATCATGCCCCAAACACAAGTTAAGTAGAAAGGAACTTTGAAGCAATTATTTGTAGTGCACATTGCTCGTTATGTAACGATTATTGAGAAAATCGCATCAGATATATCATCATCATCAAAAATCGCATCAGATATATCAATCATCATCATTATCATTATTATCATCATCATCATCAACATCATCATCACCAAAAACAGCAACATCAGTGTTGACGCGAATGCTTCACTGCCCTATATCGGATATATGTAACTGCTCAATGGTGGATTTCTAAAGAATGAGTCTTAATTCTATTGAGGTTTTTATTTGTAATTTCAATGTTCACCACTGTCCTCAAATTGGATTCTACAAAGCGTGTTCGGGTATACACTCCCGTACGTGATCGTAAGCGGAGAAGTGACGTTGAATTGCGCTGGTGCGGTTTACTTATTCGCTCGGATTGGGATGTCTCCAAAAGGTCTTGTCTTTGTCTGAAGCTTGATGGGCGATGTCCAGATCAGCAATGACTCAAGCTGGACGGGAAGATTTAATGGAATCGAGCAACCATGCTGTTGTTGGTGACCAGTCTTTGGGTAAATGATATACCATATTGAGTAATGCAGCCATTAACTTAGTAGCGTAGATGTGTTGTTAGTAAAAACAGACACCCCCATGAAGTTAGCCTGCCTAGCTTGGCTAAAAATTTACACCATTCAGCCTTCAACCACTCATCAGTGTGCTTCGGAGTGGTAGTATTGTCTGACGTCAGCGCTATCAAAATTCACACTGCGTGCCAATGAAGCGTAGTAAATACGCAATGAGAAGCACCGTCTAGATCGGCTGGCTTGGTATTGAACCCATGCTGTTCGCCGTCGTTGGTGCGTTCATCAGTTGTACAAGGAAGACCAACATCCAGATTGTTTGGTTTTTACATGCCTTCCCGACGGCTGAGAAGTATTGGAACAATCGCTTCGCTGTTGAATAAGACCTCCAAAGAGAGCGAACGGCTTGTGTTTTTGTTAGCTCCACAGTGACTGATATGAAAATAACCGCCAGTTTGTAGGAGCTGTTGTGAGGAGCTTGCTTGCTCAGATAACCACTGGGGCGCAATTCTCGAAAGATATATATTGGCAACAAGGATCGCTCGGATGCAACCTGCCATGTGGGATGCAGGAGACAACTGATATCAAGAATGGCCTACTGTAAGACGGCAGGTTCATAGGTATGTCCATATGACCAAATAGGCGCGGGCTTATGACCGGTGATTCTGATTGGTCCTGTGTCTTTTAACGAGAATGGTAAATTCGAAACTGTCAAGTAGACTAGAGATGGCCACGGTCCCAACCTAACATCGGTGAAAACTCACGAAACCCAGGTAGAAGTTGGGGTTTTACGGGAATGTAAGCAACGAGTGAATAAGTTCACTCTGTTTGAACCATGCCATATTTGTAGAATGGGATGGCTTATGCGTTCCTACTTGGCTTCACTGTATAGTTAGCGAAAATTCGCAATTGTTTGACCGGACACAAGTTTGGATTGACTCTTTTCAACCATTGTACACGCGGTGGGAAATGTATCATCCAATTCTGTGAACTAACAAGAGCTATGCGCATAAACATGTTATGGTTTTGAGTTTCTTGTTTCGTTTGCTTAGTTGTTGGCGTTGTCATGATTAAAATCCGTTGTAATTTTCCCTGAAGAAAAACTATGTTACTGATGCGACATACGGACGCACATACATCACTCGATATGTCCTAAAAAAAGTCAGAATTTAGGACCGAATTGGAATAACTTATTTCTTGAAGCGTGACTCTCCGATATTCTGGTAGCGGTAGCCCAACTGGATGAGGTAGTTGAGTTTGTAACCGCATTTCTCAATTACGGTGGTCCTACGAACATGCTGTAAACTTAAGGACGAAATGAACTTCGCCATCGTAGTTCTCCTTATAGTGTACCTCATTGGGCAAAAACCTCGAGAGACTGAGATGAAGTGAAGTTGAGACGTGCTCATGCAAACGCCTGCATTGATGTGTATTTAGATTGTGTTCTGTTGCGCAACTTTTTAATGCCTAAGGACTCGAAATAAAACTAATTTAGTAGCGATTATTGTGTAGGTCAGTTATATCGATACGAGCAGGTGCGTTTTGTTACTGAACGCGGTAGCTACCAATCTACTAAACACCTTCCCTCATTAAGTGAAAGGGTCTTTGCTACCGGATTCCCGCTTTTTGTAAAGCCACTCTTTGGAATGATGCCAGTCGCTGGTTTTGGAAAGAACTCGCTTTTTCAGAGAAGAGAAGTTGGTAACTCCGGTTATGAATTCGATGGCTGACTTATTCCATGAGATTAGCAGTTTTTTTTTAAGCGTTTTGGCGCCAATCTAGCCGGCATCATCAGTGCGCAGTGATGTGGAAAAATCACTTTGGATCGAAAATAGTATTCTATGCAGCTGTAATGGTTCTTGTTGCAGGCTTGCCTCGGCGAAGTCAGAAGTGGTACAGCATTGACATATCAAGCACACTTGGTTCTTGGTTTGCACAACTATCTGGACTCCAGAGTGATGTTATGGACTAATGAAATGTTGAGTTATTTTTCAGCACACACTAGTACGAATGAATATTCTCAATGCTTTTCGCTTGCTGCCTAATGCCGCCTGTAGGTCAGTCGGTTCACACAATCTGAACGATATAGATCAACATGCTGTTGGATGGAATGCATTCAAGTTGTGAATAGAGTACTCACCTGGAACCCTGCTGAATCTCTCGTTTATGATGTTCTCAGGCAACTGAATGTGCTGCACCAGGCCGCCTCATGTTTCAGTCGCTACGATATTTGAAATATCGCGATACATGTATATTTGTAATGTACTACTCATAAGGTTGCTGAAAATCCATCGACAACCCAGGACCGGTTTCGCCCTTCTTAGGGCTCATCAGGTAGGCGCAGTTCCCGTGTTTCCGTCAACCTTATGTTCTGCTTAAAACCAAATTGCACGAAATTAGCGAATATATCGCGATATTTCAAATACCGTAGCGACTGAAACATGAGGCGGCCTGGTGCAGCACATTCAGTTGCCTGAGAACATCATAAACGAGAGATTCAGCAGGGTTCCAGGTGAGTCTCTCGAAAGAACCAAATTAGTTTGCAGATGAGTGCATATTCGCTAATTTCGTCCTATTTTGTTTCAAGTAGAACATAAAGTTGACGGAAACCCGGGGACTGCGCCTACCTGATGAGCCCCAAGAAGGGCGAAACCGGTCGTGGCTGTCGATGGACTTTCAGCAACCTTATGAGTAGTACATTACAGATGTAGAGTAAAATTTACTTCGCTGGGTATGACAACTGCTAAGTGCAACCTTAGTTTGTGAATGTTTGCTCAACTCTGTTCTTGAGACTTGAGCCTTTCGGCAGTATTAGACAAGGTCTTCTTTTATACTCAAAGTCTGATGTTGCAAGGCACTTCCGTCCCATGCTTCTGCCAAGTCAGTTTATCCCAATCGATTGTGATGTTCAGCTGACTGAGCTTGGATGTTGTAGGTTCGGCAAATTAATGACTCTCTTTTGGCAACAGCCGGTGGAAGACGGAAGTCAAGAAAATTCTACAGTGATCTGTTCTTAGAGTATCTTTTGGGACTCTTACTACTCGTAGGCAGTTTTAGTCCTTTCACAAACCCTTATCCAAAAACGAAAATTTTTGGGGGCCCTGTATAATTTTAATTCAGAGAATTTTCTACGCCAAAAACAGGCTTATATAGTATAAGTTTAGATCTTATTTTCTCGTGGTCTGTGCAGACTAGTGGCACTCTTGCGTGCTAGTTGGTAACTTTAGTTCTTTCATCCCCATCAGGGACGAATGTGGCTGAGTCCGGCTGTCTTTGGACATTTTATCCATCACTTGAAAATGCTTGCTGGAGGGAAGTTGGTTGTCGCCTTGGAGGTAAGCAACAATGCTGCAACAGGCTATATGTTTTCCTCTGGCTCAGTGGACCGTATTGTCGAGTAAAACTATGGTTTGTTTTTGTTAAGAAGAATTCTGTTACATCTGTTACATCTGTTACACGGGAAATTTGAGATGGATGGTGCATAAGGAAAAATTCAAAAGGATTATGCGAAATTCGGTTCCCCTCACTCAGTTCTTTTCTTAGTACTGCCTCGAGTCTTTGCCACAAGCTTTCAGTGAGTCGCTTAGTTAGTCACCCGGACCATACATCCTGAAGATATGAGACATTATCAAGAAAAATTCGAAAAGAAAAAGGTATTCATTTCATAATCTGGCTGCTTTTCAAGCAAGTTTGCCCAATGATGATGCGTAAGCCACATGTCTGTAGTTCTTGCGAGTTTTCGATGAACGTACCGCAATGTACTCATTTGTTCATCATACTTATAGGGAGGATATTACGTGGACAGTTTAGCCGAAGGTTCAGTGCACGTATTGAAGGCTCTCCTGGGCGACCAGCCTGCTCCCCTACGACTCTCCTGTCCGCCGTGCAAAAGGTTGGTTGTGTTACCGATTGATACCAATTGTGAAAGTTATTTGCGAAAACTATTTAAATTTGGACGAGCTTATTATATTCTTCACTAATTCATAAACGCCAGTCGGGTCTCTGAAAATCCTTGGAAGGGGGAAGAATCTTAGGGTGAGGACAATGTTTTGCTCCGTCTCGTTGATACAGCCTTTTCCTCCACTCAGAACTGATCAGTTCACCATTTCAACTCCGAGCCATTCCTTGACGTTTATTTATCTTTACTGAGCGATGTCTCTTTCTAAATGTAGGAGGAAGCGAATAAACTATGGTTTATCTACTAGTTGGTTCGTTTTAAGTGTGCTTGGGAGTTCCCAGAAGTCGGTATTTCAGAGTAAGGTTCACATATACACGGGGTTCAACGATGAGTTCTGAGAGAAATTTCTCGGTCGTGGTTATCGAATACAGTTGAATTGTTATGGATTGTTACCAGTTGCGTGAAATCCATCCCAACGCTGTTATTCACGTTGTTCCAAAGGCACTTTGATCTGTTAGTGAACAAAGTGAGATGTGTCACGAAATGGAATATCTACATGACAACACCAATGCCGTATACGTGATTAAAACAGAGTCAGTGATGATAACCTACCACAGATCCACTTTGTCTAACTTTCGGCATTGAACCATTACGTCGTAATGTTGACGGAGGCGAATCCTATTTGACTAGTCTTAATTGATATTGTTGTTATGTTCAGTCCATTTCGTGTCCATAGAAGAGATATGTATGACTGATCAGTTGCGAAGACTAGGCTTATGATGTGCGTCAAGATTTTGAGTACACGTGAAATATCAGCCAGTTCGCCACCAGTTTTTCGGAAAAAAACGCACTGGTAACCGATGTGTGACTAACAGACCCGTCTTTGAGCTCACTGATAAACGTCGAAAATCTCAAGTGAAAAACTCTTGTTCCAAAGTTGAGCAGACGAAGAAGTCAGTTCTTCATGATGTGCATCTAGCCTAACAGGCTATCTTTTGTCGATTGCGGTTAAAGCAGCTGTCCTGTGTCTGGCTCTAAAAATGAGCTGATTCTTTTCAACTGTTTGTGGTCTATGCCTTCCGGTGTGCTGTTATCTTACCTCTCAGAGTGTAGCCGCTTTTACTTGTTTTACCGTTCATTGTGGCGGAGAAACATTCAATGATGGTTCATCCTAGTCATCATCGACTTTGCTCACGACCTTTCCAAGCTACAATTCGTGTTGGTTATTAACGAATTCCTAGGGTGCCATAAGGTCAGAACTTTCGGTTTTTTGTGTGCTAGGAGAACAGCGAGGACGATCGCGAAGATCACCTTCCGGGAGTACCTCGGTGGTTCTTTCAGCCTCAGTGCATTCCAACCGTGTCGTTCCGTACAGAGGAAGTAATGGGTTGTTTTAAGCTTATTTTATTCCGGACAACTGCCCGGAAACCCGCGGTCTCCCAGAAGCTTATTACTATTGGCTGTCACAGCTCAGCCAAATTAAGCGATTTTTGAAGCTCTTGATAGAGTGGGTTATGGCATCATTGGGTGGTTGAAGCACGCTTGTCGTGGAGGTGGGTGGAGGGGGCTCAGTGACGACGCTAGACAGGGAAACCAACAGTGCGTAACTCGTAAAGTTACTCCTTAACAAAGCCGGGTGTCTGCTTCTGCTTTTTGAGCGGGTATGAAACTTAATGGCCACCTTGGCGGTACGGTACGTCCTATCTGGAATTTTTAACTGCCCTGTGTAAAAATATGGTTCTGGGTTGAATTTCTCAAAGCATGGACTACTTTTAGCTTTACCGTCAATAATCAAAGGACGCTATCACTGTTCCCATGCACGTTGCAACACAGACCGTCGTGATGTACGCTTTCAGTTTCTTAGCCTGTTCGTTTCTAGACTCATGAACCACGGTCCTTTGAAAACAAATGACCACTGTCCATCTCAGGTGACCACCTTGTTAGTTGTTAGTCAGAGGAATAACTCAATTCTGTCAAAATTTCCCATGGCCCTAGTGCTCTAAGCTTCAACTTTGATACTGAGTTTTGTCGCTGCATTTCTCAGAGCTTCCTCGTTGGTCGAACCGCCCTTGTTTGAAATTCCTTGTCTAGTCTTGAGCCTCCGCGTCCAACTCTCACTGTTTGCAGAACTTTTGTAGAACTATAACATTCGTAGTGGATATTAGATAGCATGTACTCATACGTATGCACATTTGTGCAAAAGTGCCTCCCCACAGATTGTATTTTATGACAACCGCCGCCATATTGACTACGCAACTGACCATGCACATTGTTCCGCGTCAGATGTGGTTGGGCTTGGAGACGGACATTCGCATCTGCTTACCTGTGAACGACCCATGAGTGCGTTCCGCTTTCGGCTATATGCCGATCATGAAGAGGGTGACACAACTGAGAGGATGAATAAATTCTAAACTGCTTTCCAGCCCATTTGTTGCGCGTACGGTTACCTTTACTTTCATGATTACTCACCAGATTTACTAACCTTTCTGGGTTTCGTACCTCGCATGCGTGAGATCTACCAATCGTAACAACCCTATGCGCCCACAATCGATGGAGCAGGATTTGCTGTGAAGGCCCCTTACCTGCCCGAACAGACGCCTGGTGCACTAAGTAAGGACATTCTTGAGGTAGAAGATGTCGGACAGCGATCAGCTGTATGACGGAGATTGCGACTGAAGATTTGTTGGGAAGATCACAGATGCCCGAGGGAAGAAGCTGTCGAACAGCAGTTGAACGAGCTGGACTTTTTACAACAGTTACTTATTGTGCAGGACCCAGTACTTCTGAGGTTGCTGAATTTTACCTGAGCAATCAAGTTGTGCGTCGTGACAGCTAAAATAAGCATTTTCATTCAGTCCAACCGAGACTCACAGCTTGTTGTGCACTGCTGTATTACTACGGTGAACAATGATCACATATTTCGATGATTCCTCGCATTGGGTTTACTCTGGGTTGCAGGACATCTAATAAGTTTGATTCAGTCTACTTCGATCCTCCAACTAGGTTTCACTTTTGTTTGAGAGTGTTTCTACTTGGCTGCAGTCGTATCGATGGTAAGTCTACGGTTTCCTGATGTATAGAGTTCACACACCACACCGGAGGTTTTGAGCTTGAACTCCAGTAGGGTCAGGACAGATTCGCCCTGCTGCTGGTATCCGACAAGGACAAAGAGTCGAACAATGCTGACTAGTATGTCGTCGTAGGTTAATTTATGTACGTTTTATAAGTGACCCATGTATATCCAGCCCGTTTTAATTAAGCTGAAAAGTTCTCCCCCGATGATGTCTGATGCCCGGATGACCACAACGATGATTTCTCACTTCGAGTTCCTTCTGACATGTCGTCAGTACCGGTAGTGAAGACATTGAAGAGAAGTGCCTTTCCACTTGGATTATTGTTAGGTACATTAACAGCGAAATACTTCGGTTGTTTTCAGTACCCGGCGCACAATCGATGCATGTTCCACAGCACTACGTGCTCACTGGAAATCACTCTGGGTCTGTGGTCCTACAAAGATAGTTCCTCGTCCAGACCTGTCACACTTCCCACCGATGTCTTGGTGAGTTCTCTTTACCCGGATGGGTTAGTAGCCTTAATCACAGTCTTTGTGCCACTTTCATTGAGTTCCACTGACCTAAACTCCCAGTACATCCAGTCTTTTGACAAAGGTGGCAATGTTTTTTGTCCTTAGACTCCGTCTGTACTTCTTCCATTAGAGTACTGTGCGATAATAAAGTCCCAGTGGACTGAAGTTCTGCGCGTTTCCTGGAGAATGAAGAATGAAACCAAAGTTGAGCAAAAGTCCCTGGACTGCAGGCGGCTCATTCTAGTCAGAGCTTATGGATAACAGTGAATGAAAATTGACACTGTGTAAATAGCATCCTACTAACGCTTCCTAGGCATTCTGTCTCTTTTTCTCTAACTCTAGGCCGATTGTCAGGCGTGTTGTTTGGCCGGAGGCCAATCCTCTACTGCCGGATCAAGTGAAACAACATGTTCATCACATGATGAACGAATACATTCCAGTACCACTTCCCTCACCTTCTTGTCATTTGGTTCTACTGCTGGTTTGTAAGGATGCGTTCTCTGCCGAACCAACGAAAGAATGGACTGGTGCCGGTAACACCTCTACTCAAAGAATGCAGCATGTGACGCCCAGTACTGCATGGTCTGAGCAGTAAGTCCATGTTCCGACACTGGGTGGTTCTGCTGTTCTTACACGAGACTAAATTGAATTATTACTCTCGTGGCAAGTACGTTTCCGTTGATCGTGCCCTTTGGGTCCATCCGATCGTTCTTAATATGGGCCCTGTTCACAGCTGCGTCAAAAACAAGATCAAATGCAAGATCAAATTACAAGATAGAGTAATAACAGACGGTACCATACTCCAAACTACTAAGTGTTATAGGTTAATTCGAAGTGTTGAATCTAGCTTGACCTTATGATAATTCCCCCATTCATTTGCTTACTCCGCCTATGTACTTTTGATCTCCAGTTTTGCCTATTCGTACCCACCACTCACCTTGCCGCTAAGGCCGTCCTTCCCGACACTTGTGTATTGACATGTGTGTGTGTGTGTGTGTGAATGTCAGCTGCTGACCTACTTACCCGTGTGCGTTTATGTCCCGTTTGCTGTGCCTGCCTTCATTTGTTTCCTCATGGTTCCGTGTGATCGCACGTCCAATGAGAATCACGAGACCGTCGTCGGAAGGAACGACCGCAACCCACGCTACTGAGCCATCGTTCCGCTCGCCGATGTTGGGTGTGCGGACGTTGACACTGTACTGTGCCGGTCAGTGAACTTGTTGACGCTACTAACGTGAACAATTAAGGTCTTTTGTACACGTTTGCTTACCCTTGTGTAAATAGTAATAGTAATAGTGCTGTAGAATTACGACCCCAATTTTTCCTTTTGATATTAGAGATTGTTGACCCTACGCGTCAGCTGATAGCAGAACAATAAAGACCGTGGTAACATATCCCAAAATGCATCACCCAATGCGCGAAAATCAGTTAAGACAAACAGAGAACGTCGGTAATATGTCTGTCTATCAGCCCCAAACCACAATCGTCGGTTGAGTTCACAATGGAATTGGAGTGTCAGTTATGCAGCTGATATAACGTTCATAGTCTCACGACAGTAGATACTAAGTCACTAGTTTTCTGTGGTGAAACAAACCCGATTCATTTAACAATTATCGGGTGCCGAAATGAGGGGGGCTTGGTGACAACGGACGCAGTGGGAAAGTCTGCTGCTCCGGATTCTTCGTGCTTCGGAAGTTCAGCTCAGGATGGCGCTGTGAAAAGTGGTGATTGACTGACCGAATTCGCAGCCTTCAATCTACTTGGGATATTCAACAGATGTTCCCAGTACCCGAGTAGGCGTCCATTCACTTCGCTCTCTAGTTGCAGTCGCACTGCATCATATAGGATGCACCCTAGTAGATGACCGATGGGTAGCATTTGTTGAGGACTGTGCGCCCATCCCCCGTTTAGCAGGAACTGGCAATTGATGCTGATCAGACCATGCCACTGTACCCGCCGTGTTCAACCATTGTGTTGCCACTCGGAACATACTAGGGCTTACGAAACCAATCTAGGTTAGCTGCCCTGAAGTGCCCGAAAGTCCCCTTCAACCGCTGGTTGAAATCACCTTGTCGGTTTAGGTAATCTCCGTTGGAGGGTCCTATCTCCTCCCAACAACATCCTTACAATGGCCAACGCATCGAATTCCATCAAACTATCGACGAGCCACATCCCCGAAGCGGTCGGATCAACTTACTTTGGAGAGGGCCGTTTAGGCCCTCAAAGACAAGCAAGCGAACTAAGCTTACCGATATCTGATAATGCTCCTCTGCTGATACCAATCTGATGGCGTATTGGTGTATACAGTGTATATAAGTTGAGCTTCAGTGCAAATAATCACGAAAACGGTGCTCACTGAAGACGGAGGTCATACTGGGCCTCAAAGTTTACTGGTTATCGAATGCGACGTCGAAGTGGATCGAAGTGCAAAGCACAAACATCGATTGTGGAGAGGTTTAGCTGTCAGTCTATCGAGTCACTCGCTGTCCGACGATAGCTCAGCTGGTAGAGCGGAGGACTGTAGTGAATCGCAGCTATCCTTAGGTCGGTGGTTCGAATCCGCCTCGTCGGACCAATTTTCAGTCTTTTTTTGCTTTTGCAAATGCCGATTTGTATATGCCTGAAGAGTGTTGTTTATCGAATGTAGCACTTGACACCTATGATGAGAATTTAGACTTTGAGCGATCGCACGCAGCCGGATGACTCACGTTAGATTAGTTTGATTGGACGCGAACATTCGTGTATTTTAATGTTCACATAATGGTCTCAACAGAACGTAATGTTTTGTACTCGCTCATTTGAGTGCTTTATCACCATTCAGCTAAGATAGAATGCCATTGTGTTCTACTTGATAGTGAAGCAGAAAATGTACGGAAAACTCTGGTTACCATTGAGATTTGTAACCCCCCTGCATACTTGTGGTTGGGTACCACTTAGGACTTCTCACTGACTTTTTCACAAGTATACTGTCTCACTGAATCGACGAGACTTCTGGTTATGCGGGAATATTTCGAATGTATACCAATTCTGTGGATGCACAATCATATCCTACTGTGCCGCAACCTGTGGTGAGTCATCATTCCAACCCGAAGTCACTGGACACCTGTAAACTAGCGCGCTAAGTCGTGGGTGGAACCAAAATAATTTGATACAAGTACAGGTTTGCCATGTGTTCGTAATGACCAGTTCGTTCTGCCTCATCTAAGCGTCGTGGCGGGATATGCTACGAGTAGTCAAAATTTCGAATGTCGCAATTTATGTCGTCGCATGTGCACGATGAAAACGCCCCTGTGAAACTCGTTTGGACCTGCTGCTACCGGTAGACATCCGCTCTTGATGCTCATCTGGTGGTTTTCCAGCTGGATGCACTGCAAATACAGAGTTTTTAATGATTTTCATATCAGATTTTGGCCCTTCGATTCAACGATGCGGATTGCAGTTAGGCTGTCCGAGTGAGTTTGCGGGCTCTTTCACCTGTTCACTCTCTATGTCTCTTATTTGGTACAAAGATACGACTACAGTGTTCGAGATTTGAACCCATTGACCGTAGTTTGCACAGTTCGGTTGTCCAATGTACTCTAGGTCGGGTTGCACCCTCCTCCCGAAAATGACTGCTCAAGAGCAGCGGGAGGCAGCCACAAAAATTTTGAGGAGTAAATCCTTGGAGGGCTGTCTGTCTTCTACCTGATGAAGGACCAGCAGTCTGAGTGAATTACACCGGAACCTAATGACTTATTCTTTAAAATATATTTATCCAAATCAAACAGCAGCATCGAATCATTTTATGGTAACTTTCCAGGTTTGGTCTACCAGAACCCTGAGAAACCGACATTCTCCTTGCGTCCGTTGCCCTAACACTCCTCCATTTTAGTATCTTGTATTTGCTAACGTAATCAAGTTTTACTGGATAATGATTAAGAACCTGCATTGCATTCTGTATCCACCTCAATGTCGAAACACACGAGACTGACCAAAACTGGTCACTTTGGAGAAGTGATCTGCGGAGGAACACAGAACTGCGATTGAAGTGCTGTGGACCCATCATTTCGAGGTAAACTTAAGAAGTTGTTGAGCTATTCTGAATACTTCAAACAGTGTCCGGAAAGAACTCTTGGAGGTGGAAGAATCAGGATTACCTGAGAGAAGTCTAAATACCAATTGTTTAGATGATAACATTACGTTCTGTTGAGACCATTATGTGAACATTAAAATACACGAATGTTCGCGTCCAATCAAACTAATCTAACGTGAGTCATCCGGCTGCGTGCGATCGCTCAAAGTCTAAATTCTCATCATAGGTGTCAAGTGCTACATTCGATAAACAACACTCTTCAGGCATATACAAATCGGCATTTGCAAAAGCAAAAAAAGACTGAAAATTGGTCCGACGAGGCGGATTCGAACCACCGACCTAAGGATAGCTGCGATTCACTACAGTCCTCCGCTCTACCAGCTGAGCTATCGTCGGACAGCGAGTGACTCGATAGACTGACAGCTAAACCTCTCCACAATCGATGTTTGTGCTTTGCACTTCGATCCACTTCGACGTCGCATTCGATAACCAGTAAACTTTGAGGCCCAGTATGACCTCCGTCTTCAGTGAGCACCGTTTTCGTGATTATTTGCACTGAAGCTCAACTTATATACACTGTATACACCAATACGCCATCAGATTGGTATCAGCAGAGGAGCATTATCAGATATCGGTAAGCTTAGTTCGCTTGCTTGTCTTTGAGGGCCTAAACGGCCCTCTCCAAAGTAAGTTGATCCGACCGCTTCGGGGATGTGGCTCGTCGATAGTTTGATGGAATTCGATGCGTTGGCCATTGTAAGGATGTTGTTGGGTGGAGAAAGGACCCTCCAACGGAGATTACCTGAACCGACAAGGTGATTTCAACCAGCGGTTGAAGGGGACTTTCGGGCACTTCAGGGCAGCTAACCTAGATTGGTTTCGTAAGCCCTAGTATGTTCCGAGTGGCAACACAATGGTTGAACACGGCGGGTACAGTGGCATGGTCTGATCAGCATCAATTGCCAGTTCCTGCTAAACGGGGGATGGGCGCACAGTCCTCAACAAATGCTACCCATCGGTCATCTACTAGGGTGCATCCTATATGATGCAGTGCGACTGCAACTAGAGAGCGAAGTGAATGGACGCCTACTCGGGTACTGGGAACATCTGTTGAATATCCCAAGTAGATTGAAGGCTGCGAATTCGGTCAGTCAATCACCACTTTTCACAGCGCCATCCTGAGCTGAACTTCCGAAGCACGAAGAATCCGGAGCAGCAGACTTTCCCACTGCGTCCGTTGTCACCAAGCCCCCCTCATTTCGGCACCCGATAATTGTTAAATGAATCGGGTTTGTTTCACCACAGAAAACTAGTGACTTAGTATCTACTGTCGTGAGACTATGAACGTTATATCAGCTGCATAACTGACACTCCAATTCCATTGTGAACTCAACCGACGATTGTGGTTTGGGGCTGATAGACAGACATATTACCGACGTTCTCTGTTTGTCTTAACTGATTTTCGCGCATTGGGTGATGCATTTTGGGATATGTTACCACGGTCTTTATTGTTCTGCTA